CAGGAGGCCAACTTAGGCGCTGTGATACTAGTAATTAAATTGAAACTGCACTACCGTATTTACTCGTTAAATCCACTGTTGGGGATCAGACCATCGGCGGGCTCGGCTATTGCTCAAATTGTAAGCGAAATTAAGCCCAGAGACCGAGTGACCAGCCATGATGCCAGAATTTCTGAGTTTGGATGTCAAGTTGTATCCTGGAAAACTGTAGTTAAATTAATTTGATTCAGGTTCTGTAGGTTTAAATTCAATTTCCTGATTCCCCTCTATTACATGTATAGAGTGCGGACCTCTTACATATGGGTGTTGTTATGCAAAAAATGTACTACTTTACCAATGCAACAAATTTGCTTCAATGCTTATAATTATTCTTGTGCTTGAAGAGTCCCTTCTAATGATCTTAAAAAATATTTTTCAAGGAAATTTGTATATCAATAGACTCATAATTAGATTTTTTCAGATTTTACACTTTTTTCTTTTTGCATAGATATGTAGCCTGAGTTTTCAGCGATTAGAAAAATATTTCAGAGCATTTTTTTAGTAGTAGAATTGACTGCTATAAAGAATTTTGTAACACTGGTTACATGTGAGAGTATGAAATATTTTTCTGTTTTACAATTTTTCTGTAGTTGCTATGCAAACTTGAAACTATAATTACACAAAACTACATTTAAGGTGTTCAGCCCATTTTCACATATCAACACTCATATATGAAAACTATGAATTTAATACTTTACTCTAACTTCTATATTTTAACCATATTATGGTAGAAATATAAAGAACATGTTATAATAAAGCAATGAGACAAAAGTATTGGTGATTTTGGCTATTTCTCATCAAAATTGGTCAAAACTCTCTCTTTCAAATTGTTTGTACCTCATTAAAATAAAGTGAGCCTTTTCCTATATGTTGAAGTTAAAGTTACTTTATCTGTGTAATACTACAGGAGTAATTTGAAGTCTTCTCACTATCAACTGTAGGTACTGCAAACCTGTAAATTTGCACTATTGCTTTAAAGTTATTATCAGTTTACTACTAAAATAATTGCTATGGCAACACCTCACCATCACATAGTACACTTTAAGAAGCTACAATATTGTAGGAACAGGTCAGAGAACTCTTTAAGATATTAGATGATAATCTTTATATACATATATAACTAGTACTTGAAAATTTTTATGCTCTAGGTTGGAATAGGAGCTCATTTAGGAACCCTTAAAATGATAAGTCATAGTGTAAATGTGCTGAATTACCAAGACTTTTATCTAGTCACTTTCTCATATAGGTTACTACTATCTATTTGACTAAATATTATTTATTACATATATCAGAGAGAATCTTTAATTATAGGTAAAAAGTAGGACAAAGTTATGTGAATCAAGATCTATGGAGATGGTGGAACTTACTAAGAGAAGTAGGTCTTAAGAGGTTAAGTTATAAAATAAAAGAATATTTTCATTTAAAAGCAACTGACCAGATTGCTATTAACCTGATCAAAGGAACTATAACATGTTCACACCGGGGTGCTAGTCATGCTTCCCGGTACAATAGGAGTAGCATACAAGTTGATCTATAACCTATGGATGTACTGTGCTAAGGGAGGCTCCGAGAGAAAGATATAAAGAATAGGGACTTGAAGAGGTAACCGTTCAACCAAGTATATTAGAAATACTCTGTCTGTCGAAGTCTGTTATTCCTTTGAGAAAATCAATGGTCTTTAAATACAAGATTTGGTCTATGTCCTGCATGAGCGAGTTCCCAAGTGTTCCTTACTCAAAACTGCAAGTAAAACAAACTGAGTATCAAAGGATACTCGAAACCACAAGTAAAACAAAACATAAAACAAATCCCAGAACCGAACGAACTGAACTCCAATTCCGGTTATAGGAACACTAATTAAATGATAGAAGTAAGAAATAGGTTTTATATAACCTAGTATAATTATAAGTCATATTATAGTTATAATTATATATATATATAAATATAACAATTAGATATTTTAGAACTTGAACTAAGATTTAGAAATTCACAGAAACTAATACTAGTAGATAATATCAATTAATAATTTAATGATAGAAAATTCAGGTAGTAAAGCTAGTATAAAAGTAAAATTTTTTTTTAAAAAAAACTAATGTTTTATATACTCTCAATTCTCAGAATTCCTCCTGTGTTTGGTCTCTTTATGCTTGAGGATAGTATGTTTTCATACCTTGGCTACTTAGTTAGATGTTGAAAAGGGTGCAAATTTTAGAAGGCAGATTGGGAAGGAGCCTGATGTATGGCTGGGTGAACATTGGTGGAGCATTGGATGCCGGGCAGGGACTGGTGTGAAAGGAGAGGATCGTGCAGGCAGGAGCAATGGTGAAAATAAGATAAAATAGGCTTTTAGACTTGACTCTCGAGCCATTCTGCTGTCACTAGCGGCGAGTTCAAAGGCAAGTGCTGGCCAAAATCAACATTCATCCCTAAGGTAGAGCCATCAGTGACAATTGCTCCCCCCGGCTGCCTTAACGACAAGAGGATGTCGATGGCTATCACTCGTAAATCGAATACCCTAGGAAATCAGTGTCTCTAATACCGGTAGGAGTTAAGAGGTTATGAGAAGTGGGCATGATTCTTACAGGCCGGGTGCATTGGGGTAGTGATTTGCGTAGACTATAGTGCCAGTAAAGTATTGTACGGTAATTGAGTGATTCCTAGGCTCCAGTTCACATCGGCATTAACGGTGCGAATGGTGCATATTAGTTTGCCGAGAAGAGGGCTGGCATACAAAGCATTAACCCGCCGGGGTTTTGATTTTTTTCTTCGACAGCACTTTTTCAATTGCATTGCCGATCTTGCAGCGAATGGGAGATGCCGGATTACATCTATATCGCTTTCCATGGTCTTTAGTTGGCTTTTCATGCGGTGAAACGCTGACGCTTGTGCTTGTATCGTGCCTCTGGGCTACGTTATTTTGAACCCCGAGAATGCAGTGCTTGCAAAAGCGCTCAGATGTAATATATTGCTTATCGAGTGCTTGGCTACTTGCAGGGTGTTTGGGCGCTCGGAATTACCTATACTCGTATTTTGGCGCTGGGCGTCAGAATAATTTAATTACGCATGAGCATGCATCATCCTACCGGTGGTACACTTGGTGGTGCTAGGAAAAGGCACAAGTACAGTACTGCACTTGGGCTTGGGGGTTTCCGGTAGTGTTGGTCCCTGTGATACTCGTAGACTACTGGCTTGCTCAGGTTTTTTTGCATCCGATGTCCGCCTCACCTTGCCTCGCTGCTAAACCCCTGCAAATGCCTAGCATCCGTCACCTCTGGTCAAGTCTCTCGGCTACGATAAATTCTGGAATGCTACACTCTCCTTTCCGTGCTCTTGCAGGTTGTGGGCTTACTGAGTTACCGTTGCACTGTAGACGCGCTCAGCCTGGTTTGAAAAGAAAAAAAAAAGTTGGCAAGTTTTTCGAGTTGAAAGGCTTGGTGCATACAAATCTGGCAGACCCATCCGAAACTTGACACTCGGAAAACGCTTTTTCGGCCCTTGGCCGAGCGCCTCTATGGTACTGGTACCATGCCACCGCACCTAGTGCCGTCGGGGGTTTCGCCAGGGCCTAGCGTTACTATACTGTACCCAGTATTTAATTTAGGGTTGGGTAGTGCTTAACCAGTGAAATCGATCCTTTCATTCTTAAGTAACACCTAGTCTTAGAAAAAAAAAACCCCCCCACCGGCTATGTCACGGCAGACGACGGTACGGTATTCGGGGGGTAATGATATCAGAGCAGGAAACGTCCTCAAGTGCTTTATAAGACTCCTGCTGGCAGGAGGTCATAAAAAATATAAACCCCCTTCGTACTCAAGTAGACTGTGGCCCACGTTTTTCTCCTTTCTCCCCCGCAGTCGGCGATCCTGCTTTGGTAACGGCTTGTGCCGGTATGGCACAAGTACTCGTGCAGCATACCGGTAGTGCGTTTAAAGGAAGTGAAAGTCTGGAGCATCCCGCCCACCCCTTCTATCGTAACATACTGTATCACAAAGCATCTCTCAAGTAAGATGAAAAACAAAGGAGCAAGAAAACGAGACGAAAAATTTATTGTGGAGCAGGAGAAAGATCTGTAACATGGTAGGAGCTACGCAGGGAACAGGCAAGGGAAAGCGGAGGAAGCTAAAGAAAAGAGAAGAGAAGAAATAAAAGGGAAAAAAAAACCCCCCCGGGGGCCAGCATAGTACGCCGACTGCAAAACGGAAACAGAAATGAAATGAACGAGTCTCTAGATCATCCCACATCTCGCATCAGCCACTACACGCCACCGGGAAGGGTTCCGCTGCGTTTGGGGCCTGTCTGCCCCTCTGGGCGCTGTGTTTGTGGGGAGGCCCCGGAGGCGTTGGATTCTGCGCTCGCTACCCAGGACTTAGTATATTCCTCCAATAGAGCGATCAGTTCATTGCGCTGATCTTCTGGCAACCCCTTGTTAGCCTTAAGCTCTTCGAGGGGCGTCTGGCTCCGGTTTGTTGGCCTCTTCGGAGTTGGATCAGCCCCAGCTGACAAGAGCTCGTCCGCAACAGCCACACGGCCATGCTGGCAGGCAAAATGTAGTGGCGTGGAACCGTTATGGTTGACGGGGCTTGGATTAGCCCCTTTGTGAAGGAGACTTTTCACTATTTTCACAGCTTTCTCATGGTTATTCTGGGCGGCGTAATGCAGAGGCGTGTTTTTTTCGTGATCCATCACGTTCGGGCCTGTGTTGGTGATCAGAGTTTCTACCACTTCGCTACTGTCGCTAGATGCCGCGAGATGCAGAGGCGTCCGGCCAATGTTATCGAGCGGGGCGGCTTTAGGGTCCCGGCGGAGCAGCATTTCCACCATATCTAACTGACCTGTGGAAGCTGCTAGGTGCAGAGGTGTCATTTCGAGGTTTTCCCGGGCATCGTCCATGGTGCTCTTGGAGAGAAGTTGATCAGCGACATCTTTTTTGCCCCCGACGGCAGCATAGTGCAAGGGTGCCCAGCCGTACTTGTCGCGTGTGTCAACATCCGCACCCTTGGATAACAGGAACTTAGTAACTGCAAGGTGTCCTCGTTCTGCAGCTAAGTGGAGCGGTGTTCTCATGTCTATATTTTGAGCATCCTTCTTAGCGCCCTCCCCGCATAACTTACTGACGACTTGTGTATGACCGTTGGCGGCGGCGTAATGCAGGGGTGTGTAACCCGACGTAGTCTCTGGGTCGACTTGCCCTCCGGCATCTAGTATATCCGATACCCGATCCAGTTGATCGCCCTCTCTGCTTGCCGCGTAATGAAGGGGTGTCCATCCAAGGATATCAGCTTTATTAAGGTGGGTATCGCCCTTTGAGATCGTTTCCCCTCCATCGCCCGCTACCAATCTGTGGCTAGGATTCCACTTGGCTCTTTCCTCTAGCTTCCCCAAATCCCCAGATTCACGGGTCTTGCCAATTTCGGTTGCGCAATCACTGGGAAGTTTGCATATTCCGCCTCCGTAATCACCCCGGCCCTGCTTCTCATAGAGATATCTCAACGCTCCGAGCGTGTCCTCGTCACCGTCCTCGATCAATTTGCTCTTTAGGTCGTCCAGGCACTTTCTGGCTTTCTCCCCTTCGTTTTCAAGGTTCGCTCTATAGGTATGGAGAGCCACGGCGGTATTAAGGTTGCAAAGCTCTTCCATGAGCAGGGCGGTTACCGTAATGGTTGTGCTATGGGTTTTCCCTGAGGTGTTGCAAATATTGATGAGTTTTATATAGGCTTCTTTGATTTCGGTAATGTTTCCCCGCTTCTCTACCCGCTGGAGATTTTTGATCTTTCGATGTGTCTCGTTGACGACGTATGACACCCCGGGCAGTTTGTCGGCTTCGGAAAAAGGTGGGATTATGAGTGCATAAGCCTCCTGATGATTGCTGGTTACTCCGGACTCGGTTATGATCTCGGCGAGTTCTCGGAAGAAAGCATTTTCGAGCTTGAAATTGAACTGTTCGCTAGGCTCGCTTTCATGAATGCCGGAGGGGTTTGCAGTTCTGGACTCGGTTTTGCCGGTGATGGACCGAACAACGCCCGCGATTTCCCACATGAAAGAAGATAATATCTCTTGAGCACACATTCGCCGAAGAGGACCCTCAGATGCGAAAACAAGCGATTCCTTGCCACTAGGCTTGGTACCCACGATGCGATGGGAGGCAACAGATGTCGAGCCCTCGGTAGTGCTGCGCTTTATTTGTGCAGTTTTGGAGCGTTCTCTCGTCTTGAGAGCTATCGTCTGGCCGGACTTTTTTGCATTCTCCAGCTCGCGGGTGTCCACCACCACAAACCTTCCTCCTCGATCCATCCACCACTCGCAATCGCGAATGAGGAGGGGATTCGAGGATCCAAGTACCCGTAAAACCGTCGGGGTTCCACGCCCATGATCCGAAGATGACCTGTCCTTATCGGGAGTGTCCTCCGGGGCCTGCTCGTAATTACTCATTCCATAGCTCCACAATGAGATAATAGCGCAAAGCTCGGATGAAGAAACATCCCATGGGAGCCAATTTCCCCCATCCTTACTCCTTGTTGCAGTTACATCTATCGGCTCAATCCCCTGTCCAGCCTCGACCTGAAGGGTCCACCGAAAAACCTCGGAACCCACGAAGCTCTCCTCGAAAATGATAGCGTGTGAGGTCACGAAACATGTCAGCAGGGATCGAAGGCATTTAGTGAGCTCTAGTGCAAAAGAGTGAGAGAGCCCTTTCCATTTCGTAAGGCGTCCGAGTTCCTCCCGCGTTTTTAGTATTGTTTCGGCCATGGGTTCACCAGTCCCTTTTTGATAATCTTTTTCTTTGCCATATCTCCGCATAGTTAACACTTCCCAACCAGGATCGCCATCCCCATCGTCACCCCCATCCGGGCCATCGTGTTTGCCATGAAGTTCCCCGGATTCCCAGAGATTCTCCGGGGATGTCCCAAACTTTACTGCAAGCCAATCGATTTCATAATCTGTCGGCACGATTCTAGCCCCAGGCCGCGCAGACATATTTCGACGAATCCAAGTTCTCGCAGCAGTCATCGCTAAAGTTACACCCAACTGTGTAACGGGCGCTGACCAGTGCAGAGCACGAATTCCGACAAACTGGGTTACAAAGCCAACAATACTGATAAATGACCCCGCAATGGTCAGATTCTGGAAGGAGAGAGACGCAGTCAAAGTATGCTTTGTAGAACTTGAGTTCTCTAAGGAAGATGTGTATTTTATGTGGCGGGAAGTGGTGAGTGTCCTACGTTCCCCTTCACCGAAGATGGCATATGACCCGAAAAGCTGATCGTTAACAGTTGAGCTCTTTTGCAGCCATAGAATCTTAAAGTTTTTATCAGCTACCCAGGTGGTTTCTATAGATGAGGCTTGCACTACATGCGAACATGCCATCATCCCTAGCACTAACAGAAGAGTCCCAGATGCCATAAGGGGGTAGGCATATTCCGAATTTTCCTTCTCCTTCAATCTAAGCCCGGGGTGATAATGTACGACCCCAATGAAGACTAGGGAGCCAGACTGAAGCGCAACGCCCAGAAGAGCGAATAACCATAGTTCCCACTGTCTCTTGATTTCACAGAAGTTTAATGATATGTTTGGGGCACTAGCGGAGGTGGTGAGCCTTGATGTGTTCCGAGGATTTCTTCCCCACCGGCCCCCCGCGGTACTTTCGGTATCTGTCCGCGCCGGACGGGGTTTGGCTGAGGAGCCCTGTAAGGAAATCCGCGAAAAGATCCTCGAGAAAAAATTCTCCTCCCTTGTTTGTTCTTTGTCGTTTTTTAAACATAGAAGTTTCTCCGTAGCCGTCTCAAATGTGAACAATCTGCTCTTGCCTCTGGGGACTGTCTCCTCCTCAAAATAGAGAATCTCGGCAATTTCTGGGGAACCCATAACTCGAACAATAGCTTCCCCATTCCAAAGTTCGCACACCTGGTGCGAGGTAGAAGACATAAGCTCCATCTCTGCGGCCGCCCCACTTTCTCTAGCCCTCCCGACAACTGCCTTAAGCCAGATTGGCCCGGCAACCCGCACTGCGCCTGTTATCGCGGTGATGATGCCCAGTGGCGCCATGGCGAATATTACATCCTCGAGCCAGCTCATGGACTGGGACATGAACTGCTTGGCAACTTGTTCCCCGAAGAGAGCTAGTAGGGGCCCCAGGTCGGAAAATAAATTGTTTGAGAAGTCGACACCATCTGTTGCTAGTGCTCCGGGCGGTAAGGCTAGAAAAATTGCGGTTGACGCGAGAAGGGTCGATACGGTTGAACCCATAGCTCGTAGAAATTGAGCGGGATGCCTGCTAAACTTGCTGAGTCGCGAGTACTGACTGGTGCACCCTCCTGGTATTAGCGTGTGACTCCGTTTGAAGGAACAGGGGGAGAAATCACTTCCTTAGATTTTCGATCCTCTGTCTCCCCAAGGGAAACAATTACACGAGAAGTACTAGGGGAGGTTGAAAGGTTCGGAGATCGGTAGGAAGTCAGCAGCACCTGAGGTTGCTACTAGGATTGTTGCGCGAGCGCTGGGAGGCCCAGGGCTGCCGTGCGAGGAGGCTGACAGGTCGCAATTCCCGCCCCGCAAATGAAGTACCGGTATTCTTTTTCGAAACAAGCTTTCCTGTTTTGGGAGATCTCATGCAAAGCCGGAGCAAGGCCATATACAGTACTACGGTAGTACTCGAGCATACAAAACCAGCGAAGTGTTATTCCAGAGAATGTATTGAGGGGGGAGCCAATTATGGAATTTTTCCCGAATTGTGAACTGTGCTCAGCACCAGTTCACAGCCAATGAGCGCGTTTCCAGTAAAACTCCTTCATGGTGCTAGTATGGTCAATTGCCCAGAGTTTTTCGGTCCGATCAATGAGGAAAAGGCAAGAGGGACATTACGGGGAATCGGGATGGAGACCTTTTGTGAGAACCTTGGTGAGAATGCGATTGGCTGTGTTCCCCCCAGTCACGATAACCTCAAAGGGGGTTGATACCAGTAGGTAAGCCGGAGGTACAGTACTCGTACTTATCATTTGCATCTTCGATCCTGCAGCGAACGGGAGATCCAGGATTACTTCTGTATTACTTTCCATGGCCTTTGGTTGGCCTTACATGCCGTGCAACGCTGAAGCTCGTGCTCGTAAGTGCTTCTAGGCTACATAATTTCGAGCCCCCTAAATACAGTGGTTGTAGGGGCACTCAAATATCATAATGATAGAGCTTATCGAGTGCTTGACCGCTTGTAAGGTGTTCTGGCACTTAAAATTGAGAGCACCTATACCGGTATTTTGGCGCCGGGCGTCCGAATGATTTGTGCATGGCCATGTCCGATTATCGCAGCAGTGTTGGCCATACTGCACAAACAGCCAGGCTTGGGGACTTCCGGTAGTGTTGCTCGTACGATGCGCGTGTGATACTGGCTCGCTCAAGTTTTTTTTCTTGCACTCGATGTGCGTCTAGCCTGGTCCCCCCGGCTAAGCCCCTGGAAATACCTGCATGCATTAGTTCCCGTGCATTCTCTCGGCTAGGCTAACTTCTATGATAGAATGCTACAGGCTATCCACTCCCTTTCGCGCTCTTGCAGGTTGTTGGCTTACTGATCTACCGTTGCACGCGAGTAGACGCGTTCGGCCTAACTAAATTTAAGTTGGTTTGAGAAAAGGTTGGTAAGTTTCTCGAGTTGAAAGACTTGGTTGCACTCGGAAAGGGCTTTTTCGGACCCAGGCTGGGTGTCTGCCGGTACGATATCACGACAGATGGATGGTACGGTGTTTTGGAGCCTTATGATACCGGAGCGGGAAACGTCCTCAAGTGCTTTGCTAGACTTCCTACCGGTAGGAGATCACGAAAATATAAACCCCCTTCGTATTCAAGGAGGCTGTGGCTTATGTTTTGCTCCTTTCCCTCCCGTCGAAGATCCACGATCCACGATCCTTCTTCGGTACCGGTACTACCGGTAGTACAGCACTCGTGCAGCATAGTGCGTTTAAAGGCGGTGAAACACTGGGGTATCCCGCCCCCTCATTCTGTCGTAATTTATCACAAAGGCATTTCAGTCGGCAGCTCTTTCGGCTTGAGCCCGGTTAGTCTTATCCATTTCGGCCTCAATGTGGAAATGAAGACGCGCACTGCACCAGAGTAATACAAGAAAATTTACAAACAGGCATGGAAAGCATGCACGGGGTCATCGCGCCAACCTTAGCGATCCACCCGGGAGTCCCGATAATTCACCCGCTCGGCAATAACTTCAAGCCTAACTGGCTACCCCTTCCCCGCCATCCATTCTCCTCCCCTCCCCTCCCCCCTTCTCCGCAAAATCCGCCTTAGCCAACCAACCCACACCAACTGCCGCAGGTGCAATAACGTGAATCAATCCGAGAGCCCAGAAAATCTCACCTTTTGCAACTGCATACCCCAACAAAGCAAGGTGCAAGTACCGTATATAGGATCCCGGAACAGGCCCAGACCCGGAAGTCCCCCACACCACCGCAGAGCCCGGCGCCGCTAGCGTGCGGGAAGCACGCTCCCCATAGATTCTCCTAATGGTAGAGGCTTGTTGCGAAATGCAGTGCTCCCGAAGCAACAGCCAGGGTGACATGGGTGTTACCGAGGTACAGTACTTTAACACGTTCTTAGGCTTGGGGAAGGATGCAGGCTAGAAGGGCCTGCACGAAGCAGATGCACATGGGGAAGGGTTCCCGTATTGCGAGGATGATTTGGTGGGTGTGTTTGTTGAGGGCGATTATAGGGGCGAGTGGGAGGAGGGTTGGTAGGATTATCATACACCTACCAGAATACTGAAGAGGATTACTGCTGCAGCTTTTTCAGAGAGCTGGCTGGGTTGTGGGAAGTACTGTACACCGATATGAGAGAATATGTGGGTAGGAAAACCGCAGCTCCGAGGGCTCGAAAGCCGAGGCCCCAGATGGATGGCTTAAAGAACGAAAGATACATAAAAAAAAATCATAAGAGTAAAAATATTTGATTATCTGCAGCGCTAAATCTGATATAGAGGAGAAGTGGTGGAGAGGGGAAATGATACCACAATAGCGAAGAGCTTCATTTCGAGCATAGGCGTCTACCGGTACTAGCATAGCCGTAAGCGTGACAATTATCCCAGCGAAAACACCATGGAAGTGCTCAATTGTTCCATCGTTGGATTCCCAAGTCACTGAGAAACAGAGGATGACCCCCTTCCATAGCCCTCCATCCTCCCATTCATGCTCGGTATACTTCTGTATTGGGGGAGTGCCATCTGGGAGGAAGATGCCATGGACCGCCTTCCCAATCGTGGGGATAGAGCGTTCGGGGCCGAGAGCGTCTGCACGGCCCGCTGGCCGCGTGCACACAGTGGTGGGTAAACGAGTATTGGGAGAAGAGTAGAATGGGAGTAGAAAGGACACTGGAATTGGGTCTGAGATATGTACTGTAGGTAATCCCTCTCCTAGAAATTCCAGCGAAGGGTTGGGACATGAGAACAAGGGTGACTGCCTTGAAAACAAACTGAGATTTTAGAAAGGTAAAATGAAAGGGAAAGACGCTGGGAATGAGGGGTCCCGTTTTATAGGATTGCCACAGATAATACCGGTATTTACGCGTTTGGAGAATCCCCACTTTACATCGGCTGCAGGTAGACTACCGTTATCAACACTTTGTCTATGATATATCATCCTAATAGTCGGTTCCCCTCCAACAACTACTCCACAGAAGGTGGGGTAGTAGTGGGTTTGGTTCCGCTGCCGGTATCCCTTCCCAACGGTCAACTGCAGATGACAAACCCTCGTGGATGGGGGAGATGAACATAGATTAAATACAATAACCGCGCAGATAGGATCGTTTTTTTCCTGCAGGGGAATTGGAGTTCTCCTTCCAAGCCATGAGAGAGAGAACACCGCGAACTCAGCCCTTGCTTGAAATAAACAGGTGGGGGATGAGCAGGGTCTTTGGTGGTAGGAGGGGCAAGCGACCTAGCACATGTCTCTTTGCTGGTAATATACGGTAGGTAACATACTCTGGATCCGCAACGTGCTTCTATCAGCAATTTTTGTCCCCAGTCAGGGTGTGGAAGAGTACTGGTTTACTGAGCTGTTACATTTCGTAGGTGCCTTGATACAATACCTTCTGCATAATACCGTATATAGGCAAGATGTTTCCATTCCGGTTTTACAAGGAGAGCGAAGACGCCCCCATAGGGGAGGGAGTACGACCTTGGCGACAAAAGAAACGGACCCCCCCCCCCCATTTTACACCAAAAATGTGCATTTTCACTTCACAAAATCTCAGCTTTATCACTTGCAAAAAAAATTCAAAATTTTCCAGAGCCTTTAGAGCTATCTAGATATTATTTTTTATAAGTGAAAAGCCCTCCTAGTTAATGCCCATGGAGCAATACCAGAAGGAATGGTGGTGGCCAAAAGGTACTTACAATTTTGTATGGGCCTCCCATACAAAAGATATATTGCAACAAGATCCAATCTCTACTCTAAGCTCTCAGCCCTTCTTGTGGAGTGAGAAAATTCTGATAAAATCTACCCAGAATGTCTAGGTAATTGCCTACATCATGGCATTAGTTTTGTTAGTTCTATATTGGTTTTGGTTGAGTTGTGATTGCTCAAAATCGGCCATTTTTGGTGTAAAATGGGGGGGGGTCCGTTTCTTTTGTCGCCAAGTTCGTACAGTACCGTACCAACGCCACATCTGAACAGGCAATAAAATACATTTACCTCCTACCTTAGCTAGTTCTAGATTCTTCTCCTTTTCTTCCATGTCTACGGCTCTGTCACACAGCCACCTTCTCTAGTCAGTTCCCGTGAGCCTATCTTACTGTATATCACAAGGTCAATATCAAGCTTCTCGTGCACGTATGGTGTGGGAACTCTGTAGCCGGAGTAGGTGGACATTGATCCTGACTTAGTAATAGTAAAAATTTTATTAATTGTATGTCTTATGGAAGTTAATAGAAATTAACATGCCCAAAAATACCCGGGACATTTCAATTCTCCGACCCAAAATCTACCCCCTTTTAAGCTTCAATACCTTTATGAAAGCAAGATATTTTGATTTTCTCTCTATTAGTTTGAAGCAAACAAGCTACTCTTTCACCTAATAGAGTTATTTATTAGATTGGGATTGCTGTTAAAAAGTCTTTAGGTTTTGACTTTAGCCCTCAAATACCTCACTTAGTGCTCCGGCTACAGGGTTCCCACACCATACTGTACGAGTACTGTACTGTACTCTACAAGGTCAACCGAGGCACTTCCACAATGGTACCTTTACTCTAATATGCAAGCACGGGTAGTTCTTGGCCATAAATTAAGTCATCGTGGCTCGGTTAAAGTACCCGTGAATACACACCCGGAGTTCGGCCCCAGCCCCAGGTAACAACATAACCCCTTTCCACCTCTCGGAACAGAAATAAAACAAGACCTTCTCGACCTTAGCATGAGAGGAAAGCCCAATGATCGCGCGCGGTCCAATTATTCAAGTTTTTACGGTATGTCTCCCTCCTTGAAACCCGCCCTAGTCCGAAAACAGAAGTTACCCTGCATTAAATTTTGCACCCTTATCGATAAGCTTTTGCCCCTCTGTTTAAAACTTTCTCCTTTCAAGATCCCTCTAGCTCCTCCACCACCAGCGGCAGCCTACCTTCGGCTTCCACTGCCAACAACCTTCACTCCTTTCAACCTCGTGAGCTTCAATGGCAAGTTCCTTGTTGGCTGGCCCCCCGGTTTTAATTCTCTACGCCTCTGAATCGGGAACTGCCGCCGATCTAGCGAGGGAGGTTACCCATACCCTCCTTCGTCGTCGATTCAATGTTAAATGCATAGAGGCAAACCAGCTTGATCCGTTCACCTCCTTGCCCATCTACAAGACCATAATCTTCCTTGCTTCCACTACCGGTCAGGGGGAAATTCCGATGAATGGGAAAGATTTTTGGAGGAAGTTCCTAGTAAAGCGCATTCCGAGGGATTGGCTTAAGGATGTTGAGTTCACCACATTTGGCTGCGGCGACAGCACATATCTCAAGTACAACGCGGCTGCGAGAAAAGTTCATAGTAGGTTTTTGCAGCTTGGTGCTACGCAACTGGTCGCAAGAGGCGAAGGTGACGAGCAACATAGCGAGGGGTGAGTTGTTGGTTTAATCTTAATTTAATCATGGGTTTGAATAGCAATCGCTAAACTATCTCAGGATTGATGGCTTGTTTTTCCCGTGGTTGGAGTTGCTTGTCAGGACTTTATCCGAGAAATACCCTCTCACAGACGGGCTCGAGCCTCTGCCTGCGGACCACTTGCTAGATCCCGAACACTTTTTGTCTCTCACGGGTCACCGTCAGATCGCTTATCCAGTCCGAGATGTCATGAGAGATCTCCACGTCCAGCGTCCGGCCTCTAGGACGTTCCATGTTTTTAGAAACGAACGGATTACGGCAGTTTCACACTGGCAGGATGTAAGACACATCACTATCAGCATACCAGGATCCAGCGCGAGATGGGCACCTGGAGACACTGTGACTCTTCTACCCAAGAATTTTCCTGAAGATGTGGAAGAATTCTTGGATTGTCAAGGGTTCACTGATATTGCCGATCACCCATTGGGTTTTGTGAGGTCATCTCATCCGGCGATCGAGTCGCCTCTTCCAGGGAGGCTTATCCAACCGTTAACCCTACGCACCCTATTGATACATCATCTGGATATTAATGCCATTCCTCGCCGTGCCTTCTTTAGTATGATCGCCAATTTTACTGATAATCCAACCCACAAAGAGCGTATTCTGGAGTTTACCAACCCTGAATACCTCAACGAACTTTACGACTATACAACTCGCCCCCGCCGAAGTATACTCGAGGTTTTACAGGAATTCTCCAGCGTTAAAATTCCAATTAATCGTCTCACCGATGTCATTCCAGCGATGCGCCCGCGTGCTTTCTCAGTCGCAAGTAGTAATACCGGCCACTCGCCGGGTCCGGCCGCCGAGGGTATTAATCTAGAGATTCTAGTTGCAATTGTGAAATATAGGACCATCATCAAGAAGACGCGTCAAGGTGTTTGCACCAGATGGCTTGCTTCGCTCAAAGAAGGCGATCCTATCAGTGTGGTCTTTCAACACGGCACCTTGGTCCCCCATTCTTCCACGGAGTTGTACAACAAACCGGCCGTAATGATAGCCCCAGGCACCGGGGTCGCCCCTATGCGTGCGCTTCTATGGGAACGCATTTTCAACAAAGGCCATTATCTCAAGAATACCTTGATATTCGGCTGCCGTGGAAAGGACACTGACTTCTTCTTTCGGGAGGAATGGGCCCAGTTGGTTCGTAAGGATTTCCTCAGGTTGAATACTGCGTTCTCTCGAGACCAGCCGGCCAAGAGATATGTTCAGCATGTTATCCTAGAGCAAGCTGGACATCTCTGGGAGAGGATATTTAAGCAAGGTGCGGTGGTATATGTGTGTGGAAGTTCTGGGAATATGCCGATAGCTGTTCGCGAGGCCCTGGTAAAAGTGTTCCAGGAGAAGGGTGAATGGGAGAAGGAAGTTGCTGTCGCGTATCTCGTTCACATGGAGAAGGAGGGGAGGTTCAGGCAGGAAACCTGGTAATAATGTTTGCTTTTTCTTTCAGCAATTTCCTTGCTACTTAGATATCGGCGGGGCAGCTACCTCTAGACTAGATTCTGCGGTTCATTGGGCGTATTTGATGTGGTGGGCTTTTTCTTTGGCAATTCTCTTTGACAAGTCTGCCTATGTTTTACCATAGTTATCGTTGAGCGTTTCTTGCACAAATACCAAAATTCTAATTCTCCCTTTCTATACCCTAGCTTAGCCTCCCGTTATCTGTTCTCGGATACCGGCCTTTTTGCTCTTTGCTATTATCAAAATTTCCGCAAGTGGTGATGCAACTGTACTGTTTCCGCGCTACCGTATTGTACCCTATTCCATTATTTGGCGCTAAACCTAGCTTTTAAGTGTACACACTACAACAAAGGACGGAAGGAAGGATCATAGATCGGCGGCTATAGAGGAGGATATCGCAAGTCTCAGGTTACCATACTAGACTGAGAAATGGGTCGGGGGCTCATGTGAGTTCTATTGCAGAATATACAGATTTTCTCTTTTTCTGTATGTTTTAGCTGGTTCACTTCTAGATTTAGCTCATAGTCCAATAATTCCAATACATCGCCAAAGGTATTTGGTACTTTTGAGACCTGTGGTGGATCCGGTAAAGGGATACTTGAAGGCATTTCCTTCTCCAGTTACAGCGCTCAAGAAACTGTGAAATCGATGGAAGGAATCACCTTCAAATACGTGTCCAAGCAGCCCTTGCTCACCATTCCATCCCGGCAAGCCACTTCCGCCCATCCATTGATCCATTCCTCCCTCCCTCCCGCTCCTTCCCACTATACCAATCCCACCTCTCTCCAACTTGTCTGTCCAATCCCACAGGACTTTCTACCACCATCACTCGAAATGCCAAACATCAGAGCTGCCGCCGCTTCCACCGGTGGCTTCTCCCTGCTAACCCGCGACACACTTCTTGGGAGGGTTTGCGTGCGTTTGCGGGCAGGCAGTAGGTACATGTGTCAACGGAAAATCCTGGAGATGAAGTTTAGACATTTAGAAGGCAGGAGGGGAGTGCTCAGGGATAGAGAGGAAGTTGGGTAACGCAGAGTATAGTGTTGGGGACATTATCGCGGATTATTTAGAGGTAGTCGAGAGAGGGAACGATAAGGTATGATACCCGTTCACAACGTCCCTTGATGATTGCTGGACGCGACGCATGGTTTAGCCCACGTGCAGGTGATTATCAGACGCGGTGACCCGCCTCTCGTCCGAGGAGATCGGAGCAATGGCAGGTTGTTCCTGCTGGCGGTTACCAAGGACGAGAAGTTTGCCAATTTTTACATGAAGAGTATATCCTTTGATTCCACGGCTCAAGGGGATAAGACCGAGAAGGTTCCCGAGTGGCGGTACTTTGCCCATACGGTGTGCGTCAGGATACTTATGAGGTCGGGAATTGAGGCCGTTGAGGGGAGGAAGTAGGGTGGGTAATAAGACCCATGTTTTAGATTAGATAGAATTCTAAAAGTCCCACTTAGGAGGATGGAGGAATGTGGGATGTATAATATTTGGAGGGGGCTAGTGCTCTCCCCCTCCCTTGAACACACCAGTCGCGCATTTGTTCCCGTTGTCTTCTCGAGGCTAGATAGTGCCATAGGTTTAGAAAGCCCTTTCCTTTCGCGACACACAGAGCAAAGCACTCTTCACTTCAGATTGTGTTGGCCATTCTGTCCACCGATCCTTAACTTAATGAGGATGCTAGGATTGTTGATGTAGCTTCGAGTGAGAATATGTGACCGTGAAATTCTCTACACAAGCGATATTGGATGGGGAAGTGAATTGGTTAAAGCGGGACAAGAAAAGGCCGAGATCTGCAGATTGCAATTGAAGTCCAATAGTAGGAGGAAGTAAATGGGAATTGTAGGAGAGTTTCTTGAGACCGTGGTAGATTAGATTTGTGCCTTTTCGGCTTGATTTTTGCGCAAATTCTACGGTGGGAATTCGTGAAAAATTCATGTACGAAATAAATCGCTTCTGCGTCCAACCCAATTCCCGGTCTGATATGTTACCGGATCTCGGTTTTATTTATCTACGTCAAATTCACTAACGTCGGTATAACATCTAACTTAGTTGATTTAGTTACTGATCTCGGGCCGCAGTGAACGTTACTGTACTGCAAAGTATGATGTGCTAGCTCCTCGATAACTATTGCATGTGTATACACTTTACTGCGCGGCGGCCCCGAGTGAATAACCCCCTGCAAGACTGCACTTTCCAATAAGGATATAGAAAGGAGAGAAAACCGCAATCAAATATTTAGGTTCAATCTTACAATGCCTAAAATATCATAGCCCTTCATCCACAACCAAACCCTCTTAAAAACGCCGTTAATTCCAATTACTTTATGAAACAAAACAAGACAAAACAAAAAATTACAATTGATATATTTGAAATCTCAATTACGCCTACTCTGTCTTCGGCTTGTTCCCACCTGCCCTCCTCCTCTCTGTTACAAACGCTATTATGTGGCCACGAATCTTGGATACCAAGCCGCCGCCGATAACCTCATCTGCGCCGACAAACCTCCTCACAAGAATGTTGAATATGGAGCCAAAAGCTAGGGCCATTACTGTGCTTGTGAGGATGATGACGTTGTAAGGCATGGAAAAGTCTGGGGTTGGGAGGGAGAGGAGTAGGGAAGTTGTTCTGATCGAGAATGTAGACTTTTGGGAAGTCGGGTCGAGGATGGAGATTATTGCAGGGCTAGATAGTGTTAGTGATAGCAATAATACTACTGGTATAGTAACTCACGCAATATCAAATCCACGATTGGCGTCTGGGGGGTATTCCGTGTACCTCAAGACGGCCTTATCAAATTCGTAGTTCAAAAGGACTGTTTCTCCTGGTGGGACCCGCAGTCTGACTTCTAGTTGTGTCCCACGTTTTCTGTCTAGAGCGGGACGGTAATAGATGTCCTGGACAACGTTTCCATCGTCTTTACCGGAAACAGTCACAGAGAGCGTGTGTAAGTATGGCTTCATGAACCACGGGAGTGACTCAAGATACACAAACTCCACAGTGGAGTTTGAAGAGGGGTTGTTTAGGACCGCTTGGATACCCCCACGCTCCTGTCCGTGCCCAGTTAGGGAGCGGGAGGCATACACGGGAGGAGGAGTCAGAAGGATATTAGTAGAGGGGCTAAGCTCTGGGAGGACTATGTCGAAATCAAGATTTTCTATGACAAAGTTAGGACCTCTACCTGTGATGTGATATGAATGAGGATACCATGAAGAACAAAGCACCTCAACTCGGGTGACTTCTTTCTCTCCTCGGAACCCTGAGAAACGAAGATAGCCCGCTGTTCAGCGATATTGACACAAACATGGGTTGCCTCTTCGGTAGGAACAACAGCCAACGGACATGAACCACGGATCGGGCGACCGAACATTTCGGATAGCGACCAAGAGAGGTCAGTAACACCGGAAAGGGGAAAACAAGAATCACCGCCGGCGTAAGGCTTGTCTTGATCGCATGAGAGTTGCTCGATCGGCGGGGGTTTAGGTACCAGAGAGTCCTTCTTTCCCATTGACCGTTCAACATCGAGCACCATATCCACCGTTTGCTCCATCTGAAGTTGACATTTCCCATTCTCCTCACAAACAGGCATTACGTCGATGCTCATACTCTGCCACTGGGCATCGAACAGCCTATGGCCATCCAACAAACTCGAGATACCAGCCTTGCCCTTACAAGGCAATAACTTCAAGAACGGCGTCAAATTCTCCGTACATACCGGCTCCCGTGGAAGAGTCCCGTGAAGCAGGTGCAGCCTCTCCAATCTCTCTGGGGAATGATGTCCGGCTGGCTGGAACGACATAACAGGTCTGATAGTCCTCGTAGAGTCAATAAAATTAAGCGAAGCACAAAACAGTCCCGAAAGCGCATTATTGAGCGTGGTCCATCTCGCATCCGCCCTACCATCGCCACAAGGTTAATAGAAATTCCAAATCTCGATGGGGAGCAAACAAACTCAGAATCATCCGCGGCCTCCACCCACGCCCATAGCTCCACACCCGTGCCCCCCGCAGTCCGCCCATCCCATACCTGCCTGCCCCATTGTTCAGCATCCCATCTGCCCAACGTAAACTTCAAGTGCAGCTCTTTCGTTTGGCTCTGCTGTAGGATCTGTGCAAGCGAGCGCGGGAAGACTGAATGATGACTGTCAAATGTTCCATTACTAACGAAGCGGAAGGATGCTAGTCTGTGGTTCCCTTACGATGAGTTCTGGTCACGGGAAGGAAAAGAGGAGAGGAGGAGGGCGGAAACCCACATGGAGTTTCCCGGAAGAGACTTTAGGAGTAGATTCTCACTGTAGTCGTTATATTCACTAGCTCTGGCGCTGGCAACAACTAAAGGAGCGAGCAGTAATTGAGTAACCAATGGCCATGATAATAATCGCATATTTATAAGAAGTAAAAGAGCGAGCCAGAAGAGAAAGAAAGGAGGGAAGTAAAAGGAGTTGTAAACTCTGCGGCTACAGCAAGAAGGTCGGTGACAGCTGGTTTCGAAGTTCCGGTGAATTGTGGTCACTTCAAGGCCGGGTAACTTAAGTGACCCCTTTTTCATTCCGATACCGCACGGTATCGCTCTCGTGGGCCGAGCATGGCTAGAGCACAGACCACAGCTTGAGCAACTGGCACCTGGTACTATGGGACTACCTCCTCCTTCCCCAGGCTGAACCGTCAAATCGCCGTCAATTCAAACCTCGCGGTAAAACAGCCACCATCGAAAGAATTCAGTTAGTGGTAACGCTGACCGCGATACGCTCGTTACTTCTCTAATTCCTAATTACGCCTTTCAGCCAATCTTTACCCGCCCACCCGGCACAGTATCGCAGCCTAGATGAAGCTCGGACACAGTCCACATCATGGCCAGTAGACAAGTTCAGTTGGCCCGATGGCTTGCCAGTTTCATAGCTCTGATATGGCCGCACTTAACTGTCGTTAATCTCCTTCGTCTGCTCTGGCTCAGCACTGTCTATTACGACGAACGTCATGTGTACAAGTCCGCAATGGCAACCTGTGATTGGGATAACTGGGAGAACTGGGTATACCCCTCGCCTTGCCCTCCCCATTGCTAGCCACAAAACTAAAAGTGTTAGGGACCAGAAACTGTCCCCCACCGAGTGGTTCTGATTGCCGACCCGCAGATAATAGACCGACACACATACGCTCGTCGAGACATCGCTCTCTCCGCAACTATATTCTACACCGACCTATACATGTCCCGCTCCTATGACAGTATAATCAATCACCTCAACCCCTCTACAGTTATTTTTCTCGGCGATCTTTTTGACGGGGGCCGGGAGTGGGATTCGGATCGGATAGCGCATCACCACACCGACGCCCTTATTCCCGACGACCCGGCGGGATTCCCGGATTGGAAAGAGTTCAAGGATGAATATTGGTTATCCGAGCACGCTCGGTTCTCCCAAGTATTCCCCTCTACTCCATACCGGAAAACCGTGCAGTCTTTACCAGGAAACCACGATATCGGCGTAGGCAATAGCATTAAGGAAAGCGTCCTGGAGCGGTTCCGGCTATTCTTCGGAGAAGGAAACAGTCTCCTGACTCTCGGGAACCACTCGATTATACTGCTAGACACGCCATCTCTTTTGAATGATGTCAACCCAAGGATCTATAGCCCGCCGCGAGACTTCCTAGACTCGTTCCCAGACCTCCTCTCTCCTACTCCCCTTCATCCTCACGTAATTCAAGATGCCTCACCTCTAACCCCACCCTCTCTCGCACAAGCCAGCCCAAAGCCCGTAATCCTCCTCTCGCATATCCCCCTCCACCGCCCGCCTGACACCTCTTGTGGGCCTCACCGCCAATCCCGGAACCCAATCCGCATCGGCAGCGGATACCAGTACACCAACACTCTCCCAGAACCCCTCTCGCAAGAGATCCTACACAAAACCGGCGCAAAGCATGTATTTTCCGGCGATGACCATGACGCATGCACCGTCACCCACGAATACGACGACGGAAAGCAGAAGGCGGAGGAAGTGACTGTTAGAACCTTCGCTTGGACAATGGGTGTGCGCCAGCCGGGGTTCTTGATGGTTAGCTTGCTGAATGATGGATTGAGGAATGGGAAGGAAACAGTGCTGGTTCACGAGTGTCTGCTGCCGGACCAGATCGGGATTTATCTGGGGTATGTGGAATTGCTTGTCCAGACTTTAATCATTGTCCTTTTGAATATTGCCAGGAGGAGGGGTGCGCTCTGGTGGTGGTGCCGGTGCTTGAAACCGGGGGGGGGTAGGGATGAGGATAGGGGGAGACAAGAAGGATTGTTGGGAATTATCCCAGGAGAGAAAAATACCGAGATGGAGGAGGGTGCGGGGAAGAAGCGCAACAGGCAGTGCTCCGGGGAGTTTTGGGGGGAGCTAAGGGACCTGGTGATTGTGGTTGTTCCGTTTTACTTGACTTTGCTGGCGCTATGGTAGACAAATACGAGGGGAGAATACCGTAGAGGGTTCACCAGCGGACTTTGGTTATTGTTTTACGCTCTTGGATCTGTATTTCGCTTCTTCCTCTACTTCTAGTTAATGTTTGTGATACCCATATTCTTCAACTTTCCTTTCATCCCAAATCAACCCATAGTTAGGCATTCGTCCGATCCCTGAGTAATCATAGTCTTTGTCAACCATAGATATTGAAGCATCAGCTATCACTCGATTTATGTCTACTTTTTTGATACCACGAAAATGTGGAAGCGGGTTTCCGGTTCTGCACCAAACCGCACAGTACCAGACACCAAGTATTAGAACAAACCGTCCGCCCGAACCTCGTATCGTATTCGCTCACTGGCCAAACCTACTCAAAAGCTATTTAGACAGATCCTGTGGGAGCATGTGGTAAACACTTGATCTAACGCCTCGGAACTAATTGGCCCAGAACACACAATTGGCTCGGCAACACGCAACCCTTATACCTTTGCCACGAAGTCGTCCCTGCACACCAGTAACCATTAATTTAATCTGGAAATTCTCGCAATAAGATCCCCTGCTGTGGCCCCCGGATGGTGGAGCTCAATTAGGCACCGTAACTTATGGCTCTGCATTAACCCAGAGGGAGATTTCCATGAATTAAGCTACCATGGAGTGATAATCCGCTGGAAATTGCATCCGCCGTACCAAGTAGGGAATTGCGGGGTGGGGGGGGGGGGAGGGGAACCGGCTGGCTTACTTCTGAAATGGCGTAGGACTGGTTCTCCAACCTCCTTGTGTACCATACTACAACCCATCGGATTGGCGTTATATGCCAAGGATCAAAGAATGGATTAGGGATTACCGTACTAGCGCGTACCATGGTCTATAGTTAGGGTTCATGGTTGAGCGTTTGTAAAGGTGGCTGGTAAAGTCGACGATGTAAATTTAGGGGTCGAGAACTCCTAGCAGAGACCGAGGATTCGAGCTTTTTTAGTGTCGAGGATTGTGCTGTTGGCTCCACGAGTCGAGAGGGGTGCATGGACGGTGGATATATCGTCAGACAGGGGGCATTTATGGAAGGCCCTTGCAGCTTGGAGCAGGTGAGAGGCGGTGATTTCTTTGTGTTTGGCCGCAGTGGGTGATCTCCCACATCTGTGGATTTCCATCCTCTATGATACGGTAGCCACGAAACCGTTGTGTCTCTGGATCCGCTTGGGGGATCTTTGCAGACCGAGATAATTTCTGTTCATGAAATATTGGATTAGAGTTCTTTTTTGGTGGAAACATGTGGATATGATAGCTAAAATTTTGGGAATCCGTTCTAAATGTCGACCGGGAATCACCGGATGCCGAGGATCGTGATTGGAGTGATACTGATGGGATAAACACAAGTGCCACTGTAGTTCTCATTTGTTCTTAGTGTACTTGTAGTACAAGTAACGGGCATCCTAAAGTGTGCACACCTGCTAATTCCTAGTAACTAATTTAACAATATTGCTTACTAATGGCGGTAGGGTGGCAAGAATTTTTTAAGGTTCACGTAGTCCGGGAGTTAGCCTTGCGCTTGAAAACAAACGAAGGGATACCGGCAGTCTACGGATACGGTAGGGGTGGGGGTGGCGGGCACGAGTGCTCGAATCCACCCCTTGCGATAGTCTAGATCCATTCAGCCCTAGGGCCGAAAGAGAGGTCTCCGAGTGCCGGGTTTCGAGCGCCTGCTAGACTTGTAATTTAGGCTATCGGTACTCGTACCGTACCAGCCTGGAACAAAAAGTGATCGGAAAAAAAGTGGTTGGCACAACACCACTTTTTTCCGATCACTTACCCTTACACCCTGGTACACCAAAGTCCTTCAACCCAATCTCGCATGCCGGTAACGTTTTTCAACCCTGGGGTGATGCGTCTCCCGCTACTCGTGTTCGTATCATACTTGCCCATTACGAGTAGTGTACAAAGGTATCCGGATACCTTGGCGCGGTTTCAGGTGGTGAGGGAAACCTTAAATCTGAGCCATACCTGCGGCCATTCGGATTCGGTTTGGGGCAGAAGTACAGGCACATCTCACTAAAAACCCTATCGAAGCGTACCCAAATATTAATATTTTTTTGAGAAAACCTCTAACTCATTCTCTGCCGGGGTACAAGTGCCAGGGAAAATATTTCCGTACAGTTAATTTAGGTTAACCAGAAAAATAATCCCTGTCTAGTACAAAAACATCTCCCCTGGCACTTGTATGGAAAGAAAGCAGAAAGCTACGAATAGTAATGGTTGCTTTCGGGGGAATCTTAGCGGTTTGAAGTTAGGATTCTCCCGGGTCCGAATTGGACTGGCCTGCAGCTAAAAAAATTCCTTACTATCAAAGCAGACAGGCTTCAACTGTGCCAAGATATGTGGATGTCATTCTGTCGGAATGGGCAAGTGATCTGATGGATGGTGACGTCATAGGCTAAGCGGTCCTAGGGGTACTGGTGGTCTGAGTACTATACAGTACAGCCCCCCACATCACAGGCAAATTTATCAAACAGCGCTTATCACACCGTTATCATGGGAGGCTAGAGGCCTGAACTTCAAAGCGTCCCCAACTTCATTAGTAGGGAACAAGGTACAGTACGATGTTCTGTGGTAAATCTGGGGGGAAAAACAGTCGAGCAAAGAGCCTCACCCAGATCGGATGGGCCGTCAAAGGCGATGCGGGAGACGGGGGAGCACCACCGAATGTGGAGGCCACGTGAATGAATAGGGACGGCCTTCTCGTGAATCTGCATGCTGAAGGGAAAAAAAGGGAGGGCAATTTTCGGGAATCGGGCCACAAAACCGGCTCGGGGTCGGGACAGCATCTCACTTCGGCAAATTATACGCTGGTGTACCGGTATGATAGTGCTCGAGTGCTCCAACATACTCGTAGGTGTTAAATGTCTGTGTCTGCGAGGATTGGGCCGTGACGTCGATGGATGAATGACGTCTGCGGACCTACCGTAGCGGGCATCCGTAGGGTAGTAACAGGTGTTTGGTGAGCATCTTTGCTGGAAACCCCGAACAATTGCCTGGAGTATCGGATTTCATCGCCTTCCGCAAATTTTCGGCTTCCCCCCGAACAACGGGCCCTAAGGTAAGTGATTCCGCCCGGTACGCCAAAAGGGCAGGCGGGACGGAAAAATCTATGAATGCCGTCCTGGGGTCTCCGCTAAGGATAACATTAGTCTACAAATCAACCAGACGCGTGGTCGATAAAGGGGGGGGAACGTATCAACTCCCCACCTTGTCAATTATTCAACTCTGCCTCTACCGCCTCATTTGTATTCTGATCCTCACAGCCGTTGCTAAAGATTGACCTGAAATAATGAGCTCTGACAAGGGATTGCTGCGGCCCGGGCATCCTTTCATTCCTCCTTCCACTGATGTTCCTGCGTCGAACACGAGTGCACTTAGCGGGGTTCCCCCCGCTGGCCTTTCCGAGTTTGCTGTGCCCATCAAGAGTGATACGGTTGAGGAGCACGATGCACTCACTCTGCTTCCAGAAGTACAGGCTACAGGTCGACCTGCTGGGTCCAAGAGACCGTTTCAACGGCGACGGCGTAGTCGAGCCTGTGATGCCTGCCGCACTCGGAAAACGAAGGTAAGAAATTAAGAGATTTTCACTCCTTCTAGTGACACCTGTTCCCGGTTGGACCCTCTAATCCTTTGTTTCGCCCCCCCCCCGAAAAGAAGAGCTGTATCCAGTTGAGAGGGTTTGGGTAACGTTGGTACTATATAGTGTGATACCCCAGACGAAGGCCCATGCTCTGCCTGTGTTGCGGCTAGCTTAATATGCAAATTCTCTGAAGGTGAAGATAAACGTCGTGCGGGACCGGCGAGGTATGCTTTTGGAACCCCACGACTACCCTAAACGGCTTCACTTACTCACTGCTTAGGATTAATTCAAGACGTGTACGGATGCTCGAGCACACTATTGCAGATCTCACTCGGAAACTCGCTGAGGCCGAAGAAAGGTTACGTCGGACTAGCATATCCGGGTTCTCGCCGGTCAATGCGGGAAATCTTCAATCTCCAACAGCAGAAACTGACGTATCAGGGGGACTCCAGTCATCGGATTCCCCAAGTCACGCATCCCCGGCCAGCCCTAAATTTCCCCCACAACACCCCGTGCAGATTCCGAACATGACTTATTCTGGGAGAAGCCTTCCCCCAATTCAGAGCAGCACATCTGGTGGGCTGCCAACTGGTGATGACCGCGGAAAGAACAAGGGAAGATTTCAACCTGACGGTACTGCGTGGGACGACCATATCTTTGGCCCGAGTTCGGGTCCGTCCTTCCTGAATTCCTATAAGGAATATCTTTCCCGCCTTGGATACCGCCCACCCTCGTCTAGGGACCCCCATGATTCCGTTGGAGCGGCTTCGGAAAATCTCTCCCCCCATGCCTCGCCTGTTGACCGGGGTAATATCGGCACAATCCCGGTTCGGCTCGCACCACTTGATATCCGTGCCTTTCTTCCTCCGTTACCCCTAGCTACCGAGCTATTAGAAGTTTTTCGGAAGAATATCCAGCAATGTACAGTGATATTCTATTGGCCCACGATAGAAGCGAAGTTCAAAAGAGCTTGGAGTGCACCTATATGGGACACGGATCCTGAGGCTGTGAGGAGTGTTTTCTGTGTGATCGTTATGATTATGGCAGTGGCAAGTCAGCTAGTTGACCCGAGTCGGTTGCGGAGTCCTGACGGCGGTGACTGGTCAACTGATAATGAGAGGTGGGATATTTATTCACTCTTACCTTCCCTACCCGGATATATATCGACACTGAAAATGACATTTACCGTGGTGCTGGTATTCTTTTAGGAACGGTTGGGTCTTCTTTGAGCTCGGAAGGAAATACTCCAATCCAAACAACCCAAGTTACTCAATCGACGATGCTATTTGTTCGTATCAACTGCATTCCTGTTAATCTTCGTTGTCTATCTTTTGGGGTTCCCTTTCTAACGATGCTTTTCCTAACCCAGATCTCCTTTTGATGGCGTTTTATCTTGACAAAGCTTTTCTTCCCTCTCCCTGTTGGATGGTGACGGGATCTATGGCTCGTGTATGCCAGGACATTGGATTGTACCGCCGCACACCTGCCGGGATGTTCAGCGGTATAGACGTAGAATCCCGGACACGGCTTTTCTGGGCTGCCTATATCCAGGACCGCAAGATATCCATGAAGCAGGGCCGCCCGGTGATATTTCTGGATAAGCATATAGATGTGGGGTTGCCAGGCGAACACATGGGAGCTGGTGTCGGATCCGGCGAAGGTGAAAATTTGGAGGCCGCGAAAAAGTCTTTGCAAGTTTTTCGGGCTACCATCCGTGTTGCCCAGACCTCAGAGTCTCTGCTGAATATCAACCTGAAACACGACGGAGAATCAGAAGATGTCCAGCTGCTGCAAAGCGTGGACGAGATGTTGGAGAGGTCATGGGAGGCTTACCCACCAGACCTGACTAACTTGTCGGAGAGTGGCCCCATCGATCTGCCAGCTTTAAGACGTGAGTGGTGACCTCAGCCCCATGCGATGTAGGACCTAATTGCATGAACTCGCCCCATCATCCTACCCCTGTCGATACGCCCTATTTTTCCTTCCCCCCTGGGCCCTGAATAACATACCGGTACTGATTTATCAGTTAGCTTTATTTCATCTGCAACACTCTAGGGTCATTCTATACCGTTATTTTACCGACTTCAGCAACACATTATCGCTCACCAACAGCTTCAGGACGTTTTGCTTGGGTCAATCCATCCAAGTCTCGAAAATCACGGCTCACCTGCTCTTAAGGGCCTCTAAAGACCCTGACTTTGATGTGGCTTTTGGCCTCGGCTCTGAGGAACTTGTGCATATCCATACTTTTCGTGTCGCAACGATATTGTTGCTGGGATATTATTGCAGGGATCGTAACCTACCGAGTGTCACTAAGGAAGAGGTGGATATATGTGCAAGTGCCCTTACATCGGTTGCAAAGACCAATCGTCAGGCAGGAGAGAAGCTCCTGGGGCTGTTTAAAGACTTTTCTCTCATGTTTGGGTATTCGGTGGAGCCAAGTGTTGCTAGCAGCTCCACTTCGACAACTGTTAAGGAATGTTCCGAGGCATCACCACACACTGCCGGTTCTTGGGGCTCTGAACCCTCACATAGTACACTACAGCCTTCCTCGTCGCTGCCCCTATCGCGTTTTGGGGGTGGATTCAACGTATACCCACCAACGCCCTCGGGGCCATCGGCCCAGGGAGCCTCATCACCGGAGTTTCCACACCAAGCCCCTTCCGGTTCCAGTGCCGCGCACCCGCAATGGCTTCACGCAACGACAAATGCCATATTACTACCTAACGCTAGCACCGGCGGCGCCGGTGGGGAGAGTTCGGGAAACATGTTTATCGAGACGCAGATTGGTACCGGGTCTACAGCTGCTGGGGCCACTGGTGCTTCAACAAGTAGTTCGTTGGGCGCCGAGGGCCAGATCGATTGGAGCGCGTACCAGCAAATGATGCAGTTTGATCCGGGGTTCGCAACGTACATGCTGGGTCCCAATGATAGGGATTTCCACTGATACGTCAGGGTTACCTGCTTGTCTTTTTTTCTCAACTGTGGAGGACCTAGAGGGTTGTTGTATATTTACGGGGATATTTTGTAAAGGTTGGCGAAGCGCAGTGTGTGAATGGATTTCCACTTCTCTGATTGCAGACCGGTAGTGTTCGGGGGTGCCATTGGTATCCCCTCGTTTCTAGTGTGGCACACATACTGTACCAGCGCTGGGCTTTCCAGACACCAGAGGAAGAGCTTTTATCCTTAGCTACCACATTTCTATAGTTACTAGGAAGACGAACCATCTTATAATACCTACCATGGCTTACACAACGTCTGGATACAAGTAGTCCGGCGCAGTTGTATAATATGAGAGTGAGGACGCCTGTGCTCGGGGTTGGTCATAAATCGGGGGCACTCCTAAAATGGACAGGACATCCATATACATAAACTATGACAAATGAGGAAATACAAGGGGGGGGGTTTAACATAATTGGTAAAAGACAAAAGCCTGGTGTTTTTTTTTTTAATTTTGATTTTATTTACAATCTAATTTGTAGTAGACCTTTCCTAGGCATTGACTACTACCTTTAGCCATTGTAGTATGTTGCAAATCAAATTCTCTAATAGTTTATTAGAAATCTTAAGCTAGATCATATTCAATATAATACCAAAGACCAAAGTTCCATTCAATCTTATTTCTATATTAAACTATAAAGCTTTTATAAGATTCAAGTATAAGTTAAGAGATCTGACTCACTAACTTATTTATCAAATTCGATTGAGTAGTTAGTATTAAGTTGTAATATTCTTATAACCTAAAGTATTATCTTCTATGGTTTCTATGATACCTAACTATATTTCCTACAGTAATTATATTAGATTAGAATTAAATGAAACTTTATAGCTATTTAAATATATGTTATAAAAATTAATTTTTTCTTTCCTAGGGACAAATACAAGATTTGATTTTAAGTTACTATAAAAAAGAATTCTAATTCTTTAGTAATTAGTAACCAGATTTATAGGTACTATCAATATAATCTATATAGTATTATAATCTTCTGATACTTCACAAGTAACTTAAGAGTACCAGTGCTGATTGATATCTGATTAAAGGTTGAGTTTTTAGTTTTTTTTATCTGTCTTAAAATATAATATCTTTATTCTTACATTCTATGATTTTGTGTATTAATATTTAGATGATTCTTAATTTTTATTCAATCATATCCTGCCTTATTTTATATAGTTTACATCTTAGTAATATGTTTATATTAAGTTGTTTTCAGATTTCAATCTCTTATAAATGCTATTTACATATACCTTCCTGCTTCGTGGTCAGTATTTTACTATTTATAGATGATATGTTATGTCTGAATCCAAATATACAGTAGTAATTTATATTATGATAGTAAATTACAATTTAGTTAACAGGTTGGTAAATGGGAGGTACAGACAGGGGAGAGGGCTTGGACCAATGTGCTGGAAATACCCTTACAGCTGAGTAGAGCACCGCACACTCCATTTTCTCAGCAGTTGCTTAGAACGCAGCTCATCTATTTCGCTGCCGTATGCAAATACCGATAGCATTAGGAGTACCGATAGCGCGCAACGATGAGAACAATATCCTAATGCGCCCCTAACTCGGTGATTAACGCTACCACAAGCACCACGACCCCTACAATCGTAACAATACATTGTACTCGTACCTGTGCTCGAGTGCGGCGGTATCTTACGGTAGTGCTTGTATTGAGCACAAGAAAAAAAGCAAACACGGACTCCATCATCAATACCGTATCCGAAACTAATACTTTTTCCTTTTCCTTCTCTCCCGCTTTCCCAAAAGTAATCAAGACCCGCACATTCCCGCACTGTGCCCGAGCACAAGTACCTGTGCCACACACACCGGTACCCTTACGAGTACTTGTAGAACCCGGACCACCGCATCCCCCCCGTTCGAGTCTCATATCATACTGTACGTGCTCCGACCCCGCATGTTCCTTTTACGACATCTCGTTGGCACGGGTATCGTATTCCGCAAGGCATTCGAGCCCCTCCTCGAGTACGGATTGGTCCAGCGGTGAGGCGCCGTACTTGTACCGGTACCGGTACCTGTATCTAGCAATAAGTGCGGTGTCTAGAAATACGGACGCTGTTACACAGCCATCCAGCCAGGGAAAGAAAGAAAGAGGTATCCCTGTCGTATTATCGGATACGGTCTTGTACTTTACGGTACTCGGTGCCGGATACAAGTACTGTACTACTGTATGCAGTAGGACGGGTGGGGGTGCCGTGATATTTGGGTGCTCAGGTTTCGTGACTACCGTATGGTGTGTTGCGGTTGGTTTGATTGTACAAGTACTCGTGCTGAATGGTAGTGCACGAGTATAATGCAGTGCTGGGATTGGAGGAGGTCGGAAGGCTCGGCCATGCTATGGATGGTACAGTACCGGTAGCTTACTTGTGTGGTACTCGAGGAGGTGCTGTACGAGTACGGTGGGTGATCGGTATTTTGAAATACTGCTACCCTACCCCCCCCCCCGGGGTGATCGTGCCGCAAGGCACGGGCGCTGTTGTTGGTTGGTTCGCTGGTCGGCTGGCTGGTTGGAATGATGTTGTAGCGCGGCATGCTCGGACGTTGGGGTGAATGAGGAGCATTCTTATATAACTAAATTACATGGGATAGTAACATAAATATTGAAGAATTTGGCAGAAACCCCGGTGCGAGTGATTGTACATGAGGTCGTGAAAAACTCGAGCCGGGCGGGGCCTCGCATGTGGGTCGCGAGCCGTTCGGGCTCTGTAATATTATTTTGCCTCTGCTAACAAGGCTATGCATATTCCTTTTTCGTCCGTCCGTCCGTCCTTCCCAACAGAGACTTGAAATTGCGGTGTTTTTCCCCTATGGCTTGGGCGAGAAGGGGAATTCCAACGTTTTCCCCCCGGAATCTGGGTACTGTACTGTCCCGTACCACACGAGTGTTCTCGCGGCATGATCCATAGCCCGCACAACACGTGTCAATGCGCAGAGGATTCCACCCGTCCCTTCTCAATCCATCGGTTTTCCCAATCCCCAGCTGGTAATTTCGGTAGGTACAGTAGGGTTGCATGCGCCACCTCTGCCACTCAACCCCGCATTTACAAGTATGATGCCTAAATTTATCGTACTTACAGTGCCGCTTTTTGATCGTTGGTTGTGCATACCGTACTAGTACACGTTGGGAATAGTGTTCTTTTCAGGTTATCCCTTTGCTGCTGTTTTGTTTTTTTCCCTTCCGTTCAATAAAACGATTTGTTGTTGGAATGGGCGTCCCGATGTTTGAGAGAAATGATTGCAGTGGTCAGTTTCGGAGCCCGTATGAACATTTGGAATAGGAGGTTCTGTGTGAGCTCCGGGTAAGGGTAAATCCCTGCGATTGGGCCAGGGCTGAATTCGCACAGTGATTTTACAAGCGGAAGATTCCCGGGTTCCGTTAGTGGTGTGTGTGAGCAGTATTATCACCCCTGTATGGAATGTTATCCCCGGATTCTTGGCTGCTTGGGTACTGTACTCGTACACCATTTGGCGGGAATTCATGAGGGGGTTAATTAGCACATTCAATTTGAATTGCTCGGGTTCGCTCCCCATCTTTCCCTCCGGTGCGGCGGTTTTTCGCGATGTCGCTCGCTCGCGACTACGGCACGGTACAGTACTGTAGTCAGGTCGTGTCAAAGAAATACATTTATTTAGTCTGCCAGCGCGCAGAAGCCCTTTCCACTCTCGCCTGGGTCGATTAGATTAATAACCCTGGCGTGCAAAAAAAACGAGCTCTACCGTACTCCACTCCACTCCCCTTCTTCCAATCCGATTCGAGCCAATCTGCGAGTAATCCCATTCTACGGGTTATCACATCCGGGTTGGTGCGGTTACAAGTACAGTACTCGAGTACTGTTCCCCTGCTGCGCCTCACTCAATAAATAGCCAAAAGAAAGATTGCCGGTTGGAGCCCGGGAATTGATGGATGTGCGATACCGGTAAACGAATGGCTGCTGGGAAACCGGTAAAGGATGACAATGGATGGGATTGGTGGGCGCAGGTGTTATTTTTTGGCTTGTCGCACGGGACAGAATGCGATGGTGCGGTACTGTACTCGGGTACTGACTGTGGTACATGTACTAGTTCAATACGGTACAGTACTCTTGTTTTGAACATCACTGCTGCTGCATACCATCCAGATCCAAGGTAAAAGGCTCAGTTTCGGTGGTAATGGTACTTGAATGATACAAGTACTAGTACAGTACTCGAGTACAGCGGGTGCATCGTAGAGGTAGCATGGTCTCCTAATCTACAATCTATGATACAAGGGAGAAATATTTCTCGCTTTATGGCATCGTACGGTAGGTAGGGTTTTGCAGGGTATGATACGATAGGAATGCATTTGTCATACTCGTGTAGTACGAGTACCGTAGCCTATAGTGGTACGGTAGATACGGTGCCAATGTAGATACCGTATACATATATTGCATGCGGGGTGTGAAATTGGTCGCGGGGCGGACAGGGCCCGTCCGGGCATCGTGATTGGGTTTGTAGTACGAGTACCGTAGGAAGGCATTACCATTGGCCCACCATCTCACCCTACCCCCCTGGTATTTGAACTCCAGGAGAGGGCAGGCCCAATTTTCTCTTCCACTACCGGGGGGTGGTTACCGTGCTCCAGTGAGGGGGAAAGGGATAAAAAGGGGAAAAGGAAGAATCCTTCTCGGGATTCCCGTTCGCATGGTATCCTGTCAGCCAATCTGCCACCGGTGCCGATAATTATTCTCTTTCGAAATCAACCCGCAGCCGAAGGACCTCCCGTATCACCCGCCTCTCACCGAACGAACCACTTTTTTCTTCTTCCTCTCCCTCCCAAAACCTCTCTGATTAGGGGTCCCCCACTTTTATTTCTTCTATACGTCCTGTGTTGGCAGATTCCTCACATTTTCGGTAAGGACCTTAACTTGGGTGTCGGTACTGTACAAGTAAAACCGGTATTTACCACAGCGATATTAATTAACGGCGTGGCTTATGGTTCATGTCGGGTATTCGCCTTGCGTTACTCGAGTATGGAACCTGTGCGGAACCGTTGTTAAGTTTAGGCACACACGTTTTGGCCTTGGCAATTTGGCTCGGTGCCCCTGCGGGACCTGCCGGCACTTTTCCTGATAACGGGGATTGAATTTTAACACCTAGCATCTGTTAGCCCCAGCCGTTTCCCCCACTATTTCACTCGTGTGGCTCCCGGATGCGGGTGCATTACAATATTTAACTTTGTACTTGTAGGCCGAATAGCACTTTTGGCCTCAGGCTGTCAAGTGCGGAACTTGCCTTGATTGAGGAAATCCTGTTCATCTCCCCCCCCTGCCTGTCCAGCTCAGAATGAGCTCAGAGGTTCCCGAAGCGTGGATGCATCCTTACTCATGGTATGGCGAATGTTCGGTGAAGAATGCGGAAGAGGAAAGTGCGAGGTAAAATTGGGCAGGAGTCAGCTTCAAAGTGCCCTCGCGTTTTTCCAGAATACCGTATGAGAGTACTGTTGCCCGCCCCTTACCCGTGGAGTCGGGGATGGTTGGGAAGTACCGTATGCTATCATAATTGGCGTGGTATTGGACTTAATCTGACCATGTCGGCGTTCCACCAATGTGTCGTGGCTTTGCGATGGTTGCACTAGTACAAGCTCTACATGCCTATAATAATATACTTGTACCGGTATTGAATCCGTTTACGTGATACTGGTTGGGTGTTCGAGATACTCGAGTACCACACACCGGTGCTCTTAGTAGACAAATTGTATCCGAAAATAGGGTCGTGAGTTTGTATGGGTGCTCAAATGCGCACGGATTTTCTCCCAAATATTTTCGAATCCCTGCTTTCGGGTATTGCGGTACTAGCAGCACCTCTTGCCTGCCACTAGCACCGGTCACACCTATCACACGCGGGGCGGTGTTTACTTTCCTTGAAATTAAAGCCAACATCTAGAGCAAGATCGGGCAACCATTGTTTTCGGCTGGCCGGATATACCGGTATCTTCTGCAGTTGATGAAAGCTTGCGCACAGAAATTCTGTTCGTATTTGAATTTTTTATTTCAGCTCGTAAATATAGAACATCACCAGATAACTCCAAGACCACTTGACCTACTAGCACCGGCTTTTAGCCCTGGTTAAACAAGGAGCGAACCAGACTACACGCCTTAGCTCGGGGGAGGCTTACTGTTGCCGGTGATTGGTGCAGGGGATTAGTTTCCTGTCATCGTACTCGTACAAGCTACATTACGGATATGACCTAGCCTGAGCAGACTGGTAGCCAACTTCTGTGGGATGATTCATTCTTACCCCCACTACTCGAGTACTTGGTAACGATGATCTGCAGCCAAACCGGGCCGAAAGATACCGTATCGTAACAGACGTCGCAGACAGCCCGCTCGAACAATCCTTCTACTTCCTTGAAAGCGGGAATAACTGATCCCCACCCTTTGGCTTTAGAGTTGCCTCCCTAGCACAGTCTATCGTATTTTCTTTTTATTTCCCTCAGCAAAGAGCTGAAAGCCAGTTTTTGCCGGGGTGATCCCCCCCCTTTATCCGAAGAGGGAAATTGTGGACGTCTTAACGTGAGGCTCAATTATCCTTGTTCTCAGAGTGAGTGATGGGTGAACCGGGTCAGGTATAAATATCGACCACATCCCTTCTGGAAAATGGCCATCCGCTCGATCGCAGAACCAGGAAACCAGCAGCTATCGGTCAAGCATGAAGGTTCAATCTATTGCAGTTTTTGTCGCCGCGGTCTTTATGGGATTCGCTCTGGCATCTCCGGTCCCAGGGGCGGAGCCTGGTCCCCCAGTTGATCGAGTTCCTTGCGGATGCACAAATGCTTGCATTATTGCCTGTGGAGACAAGCCGAATTGCAATTGTCCCAAATTTTGCGGTATATCCCTTTTCTCTCTCCAATATTTCTGGCGTGGTTTGACTGACTGAGAGACAGACCTGAAATATGCCTGCCCCACAACAACGACCGTGGAACCAACACCGTATCCAACACCGAGTTTTCCCCCAGGAACTACCTGTGGATGTCATAACTCTTGCACACTCTATGGATGCGGACCGGATATTCCGAAGGATCAGTGTGTTTGCCCGCAATTTTGCGGTTCGTGCAGTCCTAACACCCCACCGCCTATTAGCCAAGTCTAATCTAGTATAGACCCCATCTATGAATGCCCGACAACAACCACCACCACTACCAAACCGACGCCAACTTTCACCTGCGGCTGCACGAATTCTTGTAAGATTGCTTGCGGTGGAAAGCCAGGGTGCATTTGCCCTGAGTATTGCGGTAAGTAGCCCTCTCGAGATTGAGCGATGATGAAGAATCCTAATATCCATTGTGTATAGATCCGAAGTATGAGTGCAAGACGACTGTTTGAGTTAGATGTAATTAGTTCTTTGTGAAATTCTTATTTATTTGTTTAGGGATGTTCGGTGTAAATATAACTAGTTTACTGGCCGTTAAAATGTGATACTATCCGTAACCTGATGTACTCATACACGCCTGGCGTTTTCAATCGTCTCCTTCCATCTACGATTTATCTAGAACCTCCCCCGGATATATAAACCTGGCCCTTCTGGTCGCTGGTTACTGGCTTCTCGGTTGCAATAGCCGCAGAAGTGCTAAAGGCGCAACAATAGAGAGAGTGGTGTGAGTGAGAGCATGAGGGGAGGCTGGGGAGGGATTGAAGGGAGGTGAAGGGGGTCGGACGGTACGGTATAGGTCATCGTTCCATGGGGGAGGGGGATTTCCCCCTCTTGTCACTCCAAGAAGATGGAAGGCGAAAACGTATCGCGTGATTTTCCGTACAGCACACGTTCATCGTCGCTGGTTTTATTGGGTTACACGGAGCTGATTAACCCCTTACGACTCCGCGGGACGCTGCGGCCGCTTCTCATGGGGGTAGCAAGGGGATATTCAACGAGTGGGATAGCGCGAGGAAAAGATACGAATTTTTCTCAGAGATCTAGGTATGAACGGTCCAGACATAATGATTCAAATTGTTGGACGAAGGGCACCCAACTCGCAGGGGTACACGTCCCCCAGAGGAGGGTGACCCAATCAGAGCGGTACCCTACGCACCTGATTACGACTTCGTACCATACGTTCCCCATTCCGCAGAGCCCGCTGCTGAGCAATCCTTGGAAGTGGGGGGCATTCTCTGGAGCGTTTTTCCATGCATATGATGACACCTACTGACGTTCATGACAAATCACTCGAGAGACTTTGGGACGCTGCAGCAACGTCTGGAAAGGGGAAGGCTGCTGGTCAATATTTGCACTCAATTCACCACTCTAGTTTTGGTTCGCTGGATGGTGCCGTCTCGGGGCAGGTTATCTTCCCAACGGGGAAACCGTCAATGACCGGACAGGTTAGAAGAATTCTTGCAGCTATATTAGGCTGGTGGCTGGTGGCCAGGCGTTCTGGGCTCCCAGATACTATGACTCTAACTAAAGACAACTACGCGATTGCGCTATTTCGGGGCGGGATCAGGACCACGCTGATGCACAACTCAAAGGGATCCGATTTATATCTGTGGATTCGAGTCGTGGCTGTCTAGTACAAGTACCTATATCTTCAACCGCTGGGAAACCACCCTGTAGAAAAGCTTTTTCACGAAATGGTATTCAACTCCGGAAAGTTATAGCAAATAACAACACCTGAAACATAGGACTCTGTCTTATCAACACGCGTATCAGTAGGTATCTCGGCATGTACAGCACTCTCGGGGGCGAGGTTGGCACTGCAATTCACTGCTCCGATTGAGGGCGCATGATGCATCCAGCCCGGATGTAGTCTCGCAGCCCCTCCGCACTCTGGGGACAATGTTGTTTGGCCGCTTGGTTGTGAGTACCAATGTTATCTTTCTTTCCTTCCCGTCCTTCCCAGTCGCCGCCTTTGTCGGTGGGCCACTCGGGCCCACTGCCCACTGTGGGAGCGGTCCTGTGGGTTCTAGCTAGGTAGCGGCAGGCCAGATTGCCGTGAGATTGCGACGGATTAGTTTGACTCGAGGTGAATCTATCTATATCTCCTTGGGTGCTTGAAAACATACTTTTAGTGTGTTTAGAGGGGGTTCGGCCGACATCACGTGCCGCGTACATCGGCCATGGACTATTCGCAAGTGGACACCGTTATCCAGGCCGCCACACTACTACCAGGTAGGGGTGATAGCCATTGCTAGTGCCCTACCTTTAGGGTGGGGAGCTAATTCTCGTCAGCATTCGGGGCTGTGCTTCTATTTTCTTTATGTGGATGAGATGGTCATCCTCGGGGACGGGATCATTGCCTCTAGCAAGTTGATACTACTGTAGTAAATACACTAGCGCCACCGCTTCCGATGTGGCTATAATTGGATTGAGGCGCTCTGTGGACAGTTGAAAAGCAGTAGTTGTTGGAGGTGGTGATCTCCATGATGGTGGGATGGATGGTTGTCCATAAATGGAAGAATCCTTAGAAGAAATCACAACTATGGCCTAGATGAAGGTGATGATGGACTGGAACAGACATTTGGAGACAAGGCTCAAGCCTTGGAAATATTAGAAGCTGCCAAATCTGTCCCGGAATCTGAAGTCAACCGGTTTTGGTGGGTTCTGATACTAAGATAGAAGCACGGATTACTGGGCCCTCACAGCGGTTCTGATCTGGCTCTCTAAGTGAATGACAATAGAAATTTGGGGAAAGAGGCTAAGCCTTAAAACTTGGAGCGTTGGGGCAAGTCAAATTGGAAAACGGCTGTAATCCCCCTGTGGAGTCTTTGGACCGGGAGATGCCTGAGTCCTTTCTCACTTGTACAAGCATCAGCAACCGGGAACCAGCTGACAGGGAATATCCTCCAATATCCTCGCCACAATCTTGGCCACTGAAAAGACATCTCGACTTACTAGAATAAGACGTGTGAGGGGCTATATAGTAATGGTGCTAGTATGGCAAACATGGCACTGCCACTCCATTCTTCTTGGCTTTTGTGCGCAGGTTTACGTTGGGCGCTGTCCACATCTTTTAATAAAGGTCCATTTACCTAACCGCCTAAACGGGCCCTAACTCTCCCACAACAGATTACTACAAAAATTTCAATCCCTCACAATTTTATTATACGACATCATTCCTCAAAAATATTCCATATCCCTCATTTTCTCCTCTTTCACTAACCGTATGGACGGATGCCCCCCTACTACCGGTATTTCGCAAACAACCCCCTCATATCTCAACAGGAGAAAAAACAATCAACTTTACCTGACCTCAGTCTTTCTTCCATCTTCTCGTCCCCCCTCCTCTCTATCTCTCGGTCATACCTTCTATGGTCCCTCTGTGGTAAGATCCCGTATCTCTTTTACGATATCCACGACTCACAAACAAGTCACATCTTCACATCCAACCCCTCAAATCTGGTAAGAAAAAGGTGGGAAAGGGGGACCGTTTGGAAAACCGTACCGGTATTGCGCAGTCGTAATTAGACAGGTGTCGGATCGTGAACGCTTCAGTCGAGAGGTTGTACGAGCCTCGCTCCAAAAGTCATGAGCACAGTAGGTTAGCATTTTACACCAAAACGAGTAACTTTACATCCGGAAACCCCACCTTGATTGCTCTGGTAAAAAAATTAAAATTCGATAGATTTCTTAGAATCATATGGATTTTTTTTTTGAAGGGGGATCAGGCTCTATCAATAGATTTTGGGAGAGAAATACCAGAAGAACTGGGAATGGACAAAAGATACCTTGGATCATACAAATTTTCTGTGAAAAATGTACAATACAACACCTCAAGAATGAATATTTAGCCACCAGCACTCACACAAGGGTGACAAAAAATCGCACAATTTTTACTGAAACAAGCCAAGCAATTAGAAAGCACATAATCCTACTTTGATTAATTATATCTTCTTTTGGGCGAGTTAATAGCCCTTAAAGCCATGCAATTTTGGTGCAAAATGGCAACCTACAGATGACTTTTCTTGCGAGGATCGTACTACTACTTGTACAGTACTCGTACTACCTCGCGAGAGAAAAAAAGGTGGAAAAGGAAAAAGGGGGAAAATACCCTCTATTTTTATTTCACTCCTGTGCCTGGTCAACGCTCTCTCTCTTATGATACCATCCTCACCGGGGAAGGGAGGATATCCCTAACCCTCAACTACAACAGATCCGGAAACAACCAACATGTCGTAAACAGTATTGTAAGCCGAACTCATAGCATCCGGCTAGGTACCATAGCTCCGGACCGCGCTGCTTCATAGCTAAATACCACGGGAGGCTAGGGGCCGTAGACCCCCCATCACGAAGCACTACTCCCACGACCCCATAGACATCTCCGGTGGATCCACCCCGCTGTGGGCTAAGTAAGCATGGGCTTAGGCACAATCTTGCGATCAGAGTGTCCGCCTGAGGAGATAGTACTAGCGTGGCCGAAAGATAAAACAGTCACGTGCCTTTTCGCGCACACTTCAACAAGAAAACTCACTAGATTTTATTCTGTCAGGTTCACGTGACCATTTTATCTATTGGCTACGCCGGCAGTGAACGACTAGGGCCTACTCTCGCTGATAGGGTAGGACTCTTCACGTTTTGTAACTGCTTTTGTTATGATGGAGCCAGGGAACTTTCTGGGGGCTCGCCGGAAGGGCTCCGGGGTTCGGTTCGGGGTTGCGAGGAGTTTTACTCTGATAGTCTAGAGTGTGGGAACTTTCTTGAGAGCTCGGAGTCGTTTGTTTTTAGTTTAGCAGAATCAAGAACGATAAGTTGGCTTGGCAGATTATCTCACCAGAAAGTGTTATTGCAGCTTAAAATCCCGAATATTGTGTTCACCTCCGGCTTGGCCTGAAACCTCATCTCAACCAATCCTCTTCAGTGGGATCCTCTCTATCTCGGCGGTTCTATCATGAGTTCTGACAGGACCTGCCATAGGACGACGTAGGGGGTTTCAACCTCTGTCGGGTAAGTCCCCACGGCATTCTTATTTTCAATAGGACTCTGGAATGACGGTGGAAATAGGATTTCTCTCTCCGCAATTTCCGAGGATATAAGTTTGGCTGAACAAACAAATTTAATGTAACGTCGAAGCTTGATTGGTAGCAAGTCGGCTTCATTGATGGATCTATTCTAACAAATAATCTATAGACTTGAAGAGAAATTTCGTGTCTGCAACCTGGATGATCTGGCTGATGCTTGGTGCTCAAGGCTCGCCGAACTACCCTCCTTGACCTCCGGCTTCAACTTCGAAATCCTTTTACTTTTCCTCTCTTTGTCTGATAGGCCTCTCCAAAACGCAGAGATCTCCGACCTAGGGCTTCTCGTGAAACCGGATGCTCCTAAAGAGCTCACCTGGAAGGATATTATTGCCGACAACCTGATGGAGGGAGAGTTATGGAAGGACGTGGATTTTGGAGTTGAGAGTAGCCACG